GGGGGAAATGAGAGATATTTTGTTTCACCACGGAAAATTATTTGATTCTTTTCTTTTAAAGAATTTCCATGATACATCAGAACGAACCTATTTCCTCCGCTGGGTGGAAGAGACGGAAATCCGCTGGCGATGTCTGGTTTGGCAGAGCAGCTGCTGCTATTTAGACCCTCCTTTGAAATTGATAAAATCACCACTACAGAAGGTTGACGGTGTTTATTAAGCTAGCGATTTGTGAGGCTCTATAATCTTGGCTTGTGTCCCATTTGGACCCATGCCAATATCTCAGACTTTTGGCAACTTTTAGTTCATATAACTCCTTCAGTTTCTATATTAGTTTTGGTGAAAATGTAGAGCACTTTTGGTCAAATTTCTGAGGAAGTTTGGTTGGTAGTAAATTAGAAATTACTACTGAATGATTATGGGGGTTAAAGCTGAACTCGAGTGACATTTTCTTGATCATCTGGTATCACATATTTCTTGCTATTTTTGTTTAGAGTGATGCCAGACGGACAGGTCACATCCGAGTTCTCTTCTTTCTTCTACTATTTTCTGAGACCGATGGCATCGCCTGTGGAACAGTCTTCGGCATTGAAATCAATTGTTTCATCTTTAAAAATTTCCCACCATTTGACATCCTTCCTGTCCGTATTAACTTCCAAACTGGTAATTCCATGGCTTTGATACCTAAATTTGGAGAAAAAGTGATGTCAATAAGGATTTTATGGAATTTCTCCACCATTGTGAAGAAAAATCTAGTCTTCAGATCAGATTTAGACTCAAGCAGTACAATAGTGCACCATTTTCACTTCTAGCTCTAGATGGTACCACAGGTCCACAGCATGCAGAGAATTAAGTTTGTAAACCCGTGCGATCGGTTTTTGAAGAACATATTTAGGAAATCTTGTTACAACATGAATAAATTAGAAAAAGAAAATGCATTTTTCCTACTTATAACACAATAAAATAGGTCTCTTTTCAAATAAAATGTAAGAACCTCTATGTGTTGTGCAATGCACGATAACATAAAAATCAAAATGAAAAATTAACATTATTACTTTCTTGAAGTATTAGAAAACAAAAATAGGAAAAGGCCTCAAAATCTGCAAAACGCGGATGGTTTTGAATATATTTGAAAGTTTGGGGAGTAATAGTGTGAATTTCTGAAAATTGAACCAACCAGATTATTCGGGGTTATTGTCACCGACCGTCCACGGATTTCACAACCCGGCAATGACCCAAGGAAATCATTGAAAAAGGTCGGTTGACCCACTCTTATTTTCACTTTGACCTTTGACTGATTTTTAAAAAAAAATGAAAATATATTTTAAAGACACTTTTTTCAAAAATACCCCTCCATCCTTCCTCACTCTCTCTTGACAATTAGAGGTTGGAGTTAGAAATTTTCACTTTCATTAACAGTCGGCCGTCTAGACATCTTCCTCATCGTCGAACTTCCGGTTACCGGCTATCTCCTATTGTAAATGTTAGTTTTTGTAGAGTTATAATTAGATTATTGGGTTTTGTTGAGTTTTAATTAGATTATTGGTCGGAATATTATTTTTATTGTGTGAAGGGCATGATTTAAGTTAGATTTGGATATAGATGAAGTGTATTGGCCTATTGTGGTTGTGTGTGGAGCTCCAACTCCTCAAAAATGATGGATTCTAGCGAGATGGAGGGGTAGGTTGTTGATAGCCGGCCTCCCATCGAGACGGAGGCGTAGGTTGTTGACAGCCGGCCTCTAATAGGCGGTCGGCTGTTAACTTCCGGTTCTAACCGACCCCCATTTTTTTTATTTCAGAAATTAATTTAAATCATTAAATGTTTAGAATTTTGAATTAAATAATTTTTTTCTTTATCAAAATTAAAGAAATTTGTTATTCTTAAATTAATTTTTTAATTCTAATTTTAACTCTTTATTTGAAATTTAATTTTCTTTTTTTATTTTTAAATTTTAAATTAATTTTTATTTTATTTTAATTTTAATTTCAATTTCAATTTTCATTTTAATTATAATTTTAATTTAATGAAAGTTGTTATTTGAAAATTAATTTTTAATTCAATTTTAAATCTTATTTTTAATTTAATTCTAATTTTTTATTTTATATAAAATTTAAATTTTCATTTTAGTTATAATTTTAATTTAAAGAAATTTGTTATTTTAAAAATAGTTTTCAAATTACTTTTTTAATTCTAATTTTAACTTTTTACTTTAAATTTAAACGTAATTGTAATTTTATTTTAAATTATAATTATAATTATAATTATAATTTAAATAAATTTGTTATTTTAAAATTAATTTTGTAATTCTAATTTTAACTTTTTATTTTTATTTTAAATTTAATTTTTTATTTTATTTTAAATTTTAATTTTAATTGAAAGAAATTTGTTATTTTAAAATTAATTTTATAATTCTAATTTAAAATTTTTATTTTATATTTAACTTTAATTTTTCTTTTATTTTAAACCTAATTTTCATTTTAGTTACAATTTTAATTTAAAGAAATTTGTTATTTTAAAATTAATTTTCAAATTAATTTTATACTTCTAATTTAAAATTTGATTTTAAATTTAAATTTAATTTTTATTTTATTATAAATTTAAATTTTCGTTATAATTATAATTATAATTTAAAGAAATTTGTTATTTTAAATTTGATTTTCAAATTATTTTTTTAATTCTATTTTTAATTTAATTCTAATTTTTTATTTTATTTTAAATGTAAATTTTCATTTTAGTTTAATTTTAATTTAAAGAAATTTTTTTATTTTAAAATTAATTTTTTAATTCTAATTTTAAATTTTTATTTTAAATTTAATTTTTATTTTATTTTAAATTTAAATTTCGTTTTAATTATAATTTTAATTTAAAGAAATTTGTTAATTTGAAATTACTTTTTTAATTCTAATTTTAGCTTTTTATTTTAAATTTAATTGTAATTGTAATCTTATTTTAAATTTAAATTTAAAATTTCATTTTAATTATAATTTTAATTTAAAGAAATTTGTTATTTTAAAATTAATTTTAAATTTAAAATTTCATTTTAATTATAATTTTAATTTAAAGAAATTTGTTAATTTGAAATTACTTTTTTAATTCTAATTTTAGCTTTTTATTTTAAATTTAATTGTAATTGTAATCTTATTTTAAATTTAAATTTAAAATTTCATTTTAATTATAATTTTAATTTAAAGAAATTTGTTATTTTAAAATTAATTTTAAAATTACTTTTTTAATTCTAATTTTAACTTTTTATTTTAAATTTATTTGTAATTGTAATTTTAATTTCCATTTTTCTTTTTTATTTTTCTTTTTATTTTTATATTAATTATTAATTTTCGATAATACATTAAAATTTTCATATTATTAATTGAATTTGAATAATTTTTTATTTTCAATTTAATTAGTTAATTATAATTTTCATTTTCATTTTCATTTTCATTTTAATTATTACTTTTTGATAATAGGGTAAAATTTTCATATTCTCTATTTAATTTGAATAATTTTATATTTTCATCTCTAATTTTAATTTTTTATTTTAACTATTATTTTAAATTTAATTATTTTTGGTGAGAGGGAAAAATTTCATGAATCAGTGTCTTGCGTATAGTAGTTACGACTCGGTTCGTTTAATTTTTGGTTATTATGCTTCATTCCATTATTTCATGTACAATGTTCTAATATTATGTTTCAATTTTTGCAGGATGGATTATCATTTGGATACAGAGTTGAGATAGATGCTGGACAAAGTTTCGTGGAACGGTAACTTGACAGCTTCACCCAGGTCCTGGAGCTGCTTGGCGACTAGCATGCAGATATGTTGCGTCAGTCCTTTTTGTGGCCTTTATACCCGTTGAGAGAGTTGCAGTATTCGGATCAGATGATCGATGCTCTTCTATGTCAATTGCTGAGTCCAGTTGACGACGATGCCCTCCATTTTAACCTCGGGGGCAAAGTCGCCAACTTTTCCATGTTCGAGTTTGCCTTACTGACTGGATTGAAGATTACGAGAGATGAGACAGCTAGCGACGGGACTCAAAGAAGAAATAGGCTGCAGGACACTTACTTCCAAGGATAGGGAGCGGTGGTTTTGCCTCAGTTGATGGATGCAATCAAGAAGTGTGGCGAGATGTTGGACAGACTGAAGTTAGGTCTGGTCTACATCATTGAGAGCGTGATGCGGTGTCACCACAAGACTGCGATTGTCCTCTTCCACCTGGAGATCGTCGACGACATAGATCGCTTCAACAACTATCTATGGGGTCGTCGATGTTTTGAGAACACCGTCCACATCGCCACCAGATCACACTCGAAGCCCAAGGGATTCGCCTTGGCGCTTCAGGTAAATGATTAACGTAATCACTGTTAAAATATTTTTTTCTATTGAATTTGTATGTACTAATTTATGTGTTGCAGATATGGGCGTATGAGATCATCCCCATATGGGTACTCGCTTTGCACAGCGAGAGGAGACACGCCGCCCTCGGATGCACCATTGGCGAGCATCTCGAGCGGAGGGATCTCCCACTGGGAAATAATTATCGCCACTCCTCGACGATCCTTATGTGAGTGTTATAAATTTGTGATTTATATTATATATAGTATAAAATCTCATTACATGATTTTATCTTTTTAAAATGTCAATATGTCAACTTGAAATAATAACTCATTTGACACCGTCGATGGAGGAGGAGGAGGAGGCGCAGGGTCTTGTGCGTGAAATCGAAGTTTCGCACACTCAAAACGACCAAATGTCCAATTCGATCCCCGATCAAAACTGGGTAAGTGAATTATTGATTAATATTTTATATAAGTTAGCAATTATTGAATAAGTTAATAATATGTAAGTTTGTGCAGGACCGCGAGCTAGTTGATCGGGCATCACCTCCGTCGGCGACATCACCTCCCCAAAGGCATCACATCCGTCGCCGGGATCACCTCCTCCCCTTCAGGGTGATTTTCTGATGATCTATACCATCGCCTGATTGGATTTATGGTGCAGGAGATCGACGCGCTGCGTCGAGAGCTGGTAGGAGTTATATCATGGGAGGTCGGCACGCTGCGTCGAGAACTGATAGGAGTTATATCAGAGGAGGTCGGTGCGCTGCGTCAAGATATGGTGGAGCGAGTCGATGATCTGGGACGCCAGTTGGTAGGGAAGGTCGAGGATATAGCTGATGATGTTAGAGTGCTACGTGGGCATTTAGGAAACCTTGAGGATGAGGTCATAGCACTCTGAGGTGGTATAGCAGGCAGACGATGGGGGTGACGACTAGGAGGGTGAACGAGAGGAGAATAAAGATGGGGTCACCATCAGTCGTGGTCGGAGGATGCATTGGAATTCTTTTTTCAGTCCATGGAGGATAGGGTGACCCCGAGGGTGGATGAGGGGATAGCCCCGTTGGGGACGGGAGCGACGATCGAGGACGTGGTGCTGATGAGGGCATATGAGGGGGTCGAGAAGGTAGTAATGACAGGGCAGATGAGGGGGTGGGCCTATCAAGGACGGGAGCTATGGTTGAGGAGGTGGTGACGACGATGACAGAGGATGAGGTGGCGGTTGTCTAGCGGAGGAGAGGACGATCCAAGAGGTGGACGAGGGGAGGACGACCATCGTGACTGGAGCGAAAAAGAGTGCTGTTGATGTGGCGAAGCTGGTGGTAGACATGAGGCCGAGAGTGACGTCATAGTACATTATCTCTCCCTTCACGGCTGAGACAAAGAAGAGTAGGTTCGTCGATGGGACGATCCCCAACCTATTTCGGGAGGTGGACCATGCTAAATGGAAAGCGTTCGAGACAGAGTAGAGAAGAATGTTGGCCGAGTTAGTATTTATGATATTAGTAAAGTACGTTGAGTTACTCGTATATGCTTCTTTAACACTTCTCTATTTCTTTTTTCAGGACCAGCCGTACGATTGGTACTGTGACGATCTCCGATGCTTATAAGTGGTTCCACGACATCATCACTTCAGGAGCTTGGCTTGACGACGATGTAAGTAAAGTAGTCATATTGTTATTTTTATGACTTGTATATCATTGTTTGTTTATGCAATGAAATAACTCCCTTTTGTATTGCTATTTCTTAATGCAGCACATCGACCAGGCCATGGACTTGTTGCATGATATGGTTCAAAGATATCCGGGGTCTTTTGACGGTTACGAAATATTTGTAAACACTGTAATTGATTATTAAATTACGACGTTCTTTGAAATATCATAAAATAAATGCAAACACTGTTATTTCAAATGGACAACATTACCAAATGATCTAACTGTCATTTAGAGGAACATGACTTGTACAATATTGACGAGTATGCCCTACTAATTTGTACCGACTGCACCTACGCGGTCGAGAAAATTCTCTGGTAATGGTATTCTAGACGTACTTGGACGTCCAGGCTCACACAGTTCAATAAGAGGTGGCGACAATATATTGAGTGGGGAATATGGTCAGGGACTTCCCACTCAACTTCATTCGGCAGAGGAAATATTGTCTCAGCGTACGCAGCTCTCCAATAATCAGTCGTGTAATAATAAGAACATAAGGTTCTAACTGTAAATCCTCGATACGTAACAACCGCGACTGCATGCTCACGTGGAAAAGTCTCCAACTGAAATTTTTTACAAGTGCATGTATTATCATTCAGTCCACCATGTATGTCGTATCACGTGCACATTCCACTGAGAAGTGCAACTCGTCTAGTGGTTCGACATTCAACTGTCTCGCAAGTTCTACAGCTTTAAATAGTCACTCCTCTTACGTTGGGGCTAGCATACTCGTGCAATTCTGTGATTTCGCACATCGAATGTGAAACCACTGTTGCAGCTTGGTACGGATATTCTCAATCAGTGCAATGATGGGTAATTCTCGATCCTTCTTGAATAATGCATTGAGAGACTTCGCTTGTTTGACGTCATCATATTGTATCGACGTCTTGGGAAAAACGAGTGTGCCCAATGTTCAATCCCCATTTTCGTTAAATAATTTCATGCATCAAATGATTTACTTCCTATTTCAACCATAAACTTATTACACTCTTCAACATTGTAGGCTTCAGCCGCTCTCCTGAACAATGAAACTATACCTTTGTCCCGATACCTGGTCTTCAGATTGCCTTGAATATGGTACATGTAATACCCATGATGTGCATCTGAAAAAACATCAGCGATACCATTTATTAAAGGCCGTCCTCGATCGGTTACAACCGCAAGATCCTCGACTTCCCCGATTACTTTCCTTAACTTTGTGAAGAACCACCGTATCGACAAGTCATTATCACTATCGACTATGCCGAATACAAGAGGGGAAATTTGGATGATGACATCTTAACATGTAGCAATAATCAACTTGCATTGATATTTAGATTTCAGTGTTGTACCATCAACTAGAATTAGGGGTTACATTGCATTTCGAAATCCTTGAATGCATTGTCCAAGAGTCTTGAAGAAGAATTTGAAGTAATTCCCACCCTCCGTCTCAAAAAAAAATTTCGAGCTAAGATTAGTTTTCTTCATGCTATGGCAATACTTGACCAATTTAGCATAGCTTTCCTCTGCAAAGTCCATTAAATCATCAAACGCACATTCCTTGGCCTTCCTGGCCTTCTGGTACTCAAGACTACTCCGTACTCTCGACGAACGTCGTTAATGATGTACGATGGTCTGTAGATCGTATATGAATCCTAATACTTGTGCATTATCTGTCGACCAATAAACCAAGCCCGGACTTGCCTGTGATCATTTCGACGTAATCTCACTTCACAAGTATGTTCCCGTGTGTACTTGCGAACTACAAAGCACTCATTCGTATTCATTTTCGTCGCTCACAAACACCAACAACAACTGTCGTCTATGCAAATCGTCAACGACTTGTTCGATTTTTTCAGTTTGAACTCAAAATTGTATTTCAGTGCAATTACATGTACAGCTTCCTGCAAATCTTTTTTCATTTCAAACAGTTGCTCGACATACAAATCCTCACTATCGAGAACCACACGCAAGGAGTTAGAGGAAGGTCCACTCGATCCAACCCCTGAGGTCCCACCCCGCTCAAGTCTCTGTCGGGATAAAGCGATCAAATTCTCGTTTGTAAAAGTATTTACATTTCCACACTCGTTGTCGTGAACTATGGACAGAATTCTATGAGTAAATGTCTCTGAAATAACCGCATCATCTTCACGAGCTATCTGGAACGTATTCCAAAAATCATTAACATTGTGATCCCCTCCATCTAAGTCTACTTGTTCACCTTCGACGACATCCTTTCTCACTAAAGTCACGCAAATAGGAGTCGAACGCCTATTATTCATTTCAAACAGATAATTCACTTCGGCATCAGAAGAAATCGTCATAGGTGAACTCCGAACTTCCTGATCACTGAATTTAAATTTAAATTCCATATCATACTGAGAGAGATTGACATTTAGCTTGTTCTATAAAGCATTATAGAGTTCTGCATACGACGTTGTTTTTGTTATGAAAATTGGAATACCACCACATTTATCACTCATCCATTTCCATACTCATCAATTTCTTTCGTCCAATTTGAAATCACCAAAGTAATAAACTGGGACTACAACCATATTTGCATGAAGAAAAAGTATTTTTAATTGCAAGAAAAATACCAAAGACAATAAAAAAAGCAAAAAAAAAAAAAAGCCTGCTGAAACAACCGACTATTCCTGCAGGCTGTTATTTTCCCGCTATTAATGTCCAGCCGACTTTTTTAACAATTAACTGGACAGTCGATAGTTCAAATTCGACTATCCGACAGAATAAACACACCAAATTTTTGTAAATTAATTTTTCAGTATATGCAGATGAATTTTTTCTCGTCAAATGCTTACTTTTTTCACAGATCTATTAAAAAAACTATCTACATTAATATTATATGTTGAAATAACTTTTATCTATTAAAACGTAAAATTAACGAAAATAAAATTAAATGTGCGTATTAAAAACTTACTGATCTGATGAGATTGATGTAAAAAAATTCAGCTATTGCGTTCGATGAATTTTTTAGATCTTGAGGTTGAAGCAAATGAAAGTTGAAAGTGTTTTTATCTGTATTGGAGTAAATAGATATAAAAAGTTTACTGATTTTGATATTTTAAATAAAAAATGTATAATTTTTATTTGTTAACTAAAGAATAGTAATATCTTTTAAACAAAATCATCTACTGTACTTCTATAATACACTTAAAAATATTTCTATATTTTATCAGTCAGTACGTTATTGTGATAATATTAACAAGCAACAAGTCAAATTGAAATTTACCTTCTTTGATTATTTCATTTTTAAAAGTACCCGCAGTGACCCAGACCGCTAGATATATCCGGAGTCTCCTCGCACTTTCTCTCTCTATTATTCTCCCATATCTCTCTCTATATCTAATGGCGACGTCTCGAATTCTCTCTCAAACCCTCCACCGTTCCACCCTCACCCCTCGGGCACTAATCAGCCACCACCGCTATCGATCCTACAAGACCCACCAGGCAAAGCTAATCGAAGTGGAAGTCGACTCATCATCCACTTCTTCCCATCCCGACTCGCCGCAGGAGGTGCTCACAGTCGGGATTAAAAAACTCGAGGAGGCAATCCACAGTATCATCGTGCGTCGGGCTGCACCTGATTGGCTCCCGTTTGTACCTGGGTATTCGTACTGGGTCCCGCCTCGGAGTAGTACTATGCGACATCCACGTGGTATGATTGAGGTCATAGGGAAACTGGCATCTTCTGGGGTGGGAGCGGGGAAGATTCGACCGCAATTTGATCTTTTGACGGAGGATGAAACGATGTCGTTTACCTCTGCGCGTGGATGGCCCTCTTCTACATTTTTTGTTGAAGGTAAGGAAATCAATTGGCTTATTATTATCATTGTTATTTTGGATTGGAATATTTGGCGGTGTCTTTTATACTATGAATTTGAATTCAAATGAAGTAATTATAGAATCTGCGTAACCTTAATTTCTGTATATTTTTGGATCTAGGGTGATTGATGAGTATTGAATTGGAGAATTTATCCAAAGTTTCACCTTGAAAATGGTTAAAGAAGCTCAGATTTCCGCATTTTTTTTTTTAAGGAAAGAACTCAGTAATGATAAAATGTAGTAATGAAAGTTAACTTTTCTCGACTTTCTTCCAAATGGGCATTTTGATTTTAATGTATTGCATGAAGAATGATTCATTTTTTATAATCATTGGATATTACCTCTTATTAAGGGGGAAGTGCTGCAATTGGGGTATTCAGATTTCCCATATAACTTTTTAAATTAAGCATTTTGCAATTTAATGCTTCACTGTAAATGATAGGAAATTTCCCCTTTCCTGTATCCTATATCTTTGGTTTTGGGTACAATGTCGGCTAGTATTGGAATCACTCTTGTTTATTCTTTTATCTAGTTAAAACTGTCAATTTAATGCCATTATAAAATTCTTTAATCTTGGTTAAAAAAATATATTTTTTTTTAATCTAAAAATATAGAAGTTTGGCTTTCCTCATTTGTGATTCCAATTTTTGCTTACAAGAATGTAGTAGCTTAATGATGCCTGTGTTACGATTTCCTCTAAAACGTAAAAGCGGTGTGGTATTTTTTGAAGGAATAATATCAGTAGTTGAGCTGAAATGGCATCTTACTTGGAAAACTTGAGAAACTGAAAGTGTTTGTGTTTCCATCTTTCAAGACAGGCTTGAAAATAGTGGTTTCTAAATTGATTACGTGTAATACGTTGAGATTTTTCTTAAAAATGCCATTGGAGAGTATTGTCAATCTGTGATGATCTTCATGCATGCTGAGCTGATGTGTGCACACTGCAGGTACTTTACCCGTACATCCAATTCCATTGATGGAAGTGGAGGTGAAAAATCAGAAGAAAGTGGATAATGCACATAACACATCTAACTCTGAGGAGGATGAAGGATGACGAGTATGCTGTATGAAAATCCGGTTGCTCGGGGTAAGTTATTTACCCTAGCAAGGCCTATGGCCTGTCACAAATATTTTGGTCGATCCGTACTTTATTTTTCATCACGAGCCGGAGTTTCCAAATATCCTGTGGCAATGTCACATGAAACTATCCATATAATTGTTTTCTTTGCACTAAAAGATCCCTACTTCATAGTAGTGAAAGTATTGGTTTAGCCGTTTAGGAACACATACTTCATAGCACATGCTGTAATAAGGGAATATCCTTTGGGTCTGTCACTCAAAAAGTATTGTTGTTATAGTTCACTACTGAAGGTTCTTCTTTGCACTAAACATCCCAACATTTTAGTTGTGAAAGGTACTATTGGTGTAATGCAATTACCTGCATATGACTCAGACTAATGTGGATTATCTAGCTGAAAGTTCTTTTGTGAATACTATCTTGTTTTGCAGGCTTGCTCACCCTAGTAGATATCTAGGGTATGCTGAAGGTAAAAGAAGAGAGAGCAAGCAGATGAAATGCTTGTACAGATGCTCCAGACGCGGTTCATTTCACGCGGTTTTAGAAAACCAGTTAGCTCGACTTCATTCCACCTGACTGGAGAAATATGTAATCTTATTTGAATGTTGTTTTGAGTTGACTGGTGCCATTTCTTTTTTTATGGTTTGAAATAATTAATAGGCAAATGCTTATTTTCTTGGACATGATGGTGATTCTACTATTATTTCTCTTCAAAACTGAGGACGACTATTGCTCGAATGGTTCTGTAGTCCAGGTGAAGATTGATGGTTGGGCGACTATTGCTCGAATGGTTCTGTAGTCCAGGTGAAGATTGATGGTTGGGTTTTTGGCGCCGTGGCTTGGTTTGATCTGTATTTGTGCTCCTAATGGTTTGAATTTGGTAAATACTTATGCAAGCTTATTGTTAAGGTCAAGTAGGCTGATTTATTTGAGTTTCAAAGTAAAAAACTTGAAATGAAAGTGTTTCGCGTGGGTTGTCGTTAACAATTAAAAGGGGATCAAACGATTGTGTAAAGAACAAATCTTTTGAGACAAAGTTCCAAAAATGGGCGTTTTATTGGCGATGATTTTACAATTGGAATTTAAACAGAATGCCTTAAAGGGGCGCAAGTACACGAGTACTGAAAAGAAATGTTTTAAATCTAAACTAAGGAATTGAAATTATATATTCTCTATTTGAGAGTGTTTGATTCGGGGTCCATTGCTCTATGTCTTTTCTTCCTTTTATATTCCCTTAATGTTCTCTTTGTGATCAACCGATTAAAAACTGCTTAATTGCTTTATAACTGCCCACTTTCTTCATAGTGGCGAACTTATCGTGGAACTGCCGTCTCTAAATGCTGCCACTACTCTTTGTCGTTCAATCGTCTTCAACTGAACTCCTTGAATCGTGGAACGTGATAAGATTACCCAATAATTGCTTCGATAATTGCACTTTTGGATAACCACAATATCTTATGTTTGCTAAGATCCTGGGCATTCAAAGGTTTGGGTGAGAACAGGGTCATAACTCTGGGCGACTGCGAGACACTTCATTCGCTCAGATCTTGGGCGTCTTGCAAGTTTGGGCGATGGTATTACCGCGTTTATGGGCTTCCATTGCATTCATTAATAACCCTATTTGAGCCTTTATCCTGAACTGCCCAGTTGGGCTTTATTCTTTGGGCTATTCGAATTGAGCTTCACTTTTAATGTGTCAACAATTACCCCCCAATATGGCAGAATTAATACCAATTATTAATTTTTGCCATATTTACTTGTGTTTCCCAACAACATTTGAAATTCCCAAGAATTTCAATCATTATTTTCTTCCATAGCCTGAAAAGGCGCGACATTGCAAACCCTTATAACCTCCAAATACACGCCATTTTATCGCACTACTAAATCTCGCCTCATTGTTTTGTGCTTCTCTCTCGCAATATTACTGTTCATCTTCTTGCTTCTCTACTACGTTTCTCAAGCAAATTTCAACAAAACTTTATTTCGTTCCTAATAGCTGCTTCACAATCCCAATCTGGTGACTCTTTCAGTTTCGAAGACTTCCAGAAAATCCTCACTCGGCCATATATAACTTCGAACTTCCTTGCACCAGCCAATGCTGAACTCAGTGAGTTCTATCTAGGTCCTTCATTCAACAATGCCGAGGCCGTCGAACAAGTGGCGATAGGCCAGCTGTTCCCTTGTACTCAAGGCTCTCCGTTTCTGAACTCTTTGCCGCTGAGGCTGCTTCGCGAAAGAGGTATTCGCACTTAACCTAAATTTGATGTTATTTTTCGTAGATGGCATGCTCGCCTTGTGGGCCATGGTCCTACCAAGACAATTTTTGATAGCGCTAGGATTTCTGATTTGTTAGAAATCTCTCTTCAACCCCCTATTTTTGATCCACCGCTTTTCCCTATTGCTTTAAGTTTTTGGTCCTCTGAGTATAATACTTTTGTTTTCCCTCTTGGTCCCATGTCCATTACTTTAAGGGATGTTGGGGCCCTAGTAAATCTGCCACCTTTGGGCGATACCATTTTCCCTGGTATTTTGATTTTTGGTGTCGCCCCAAAATTTGACAAAAAGCTCATCGAGTCCTATTCAAGCCTGCAAAGCTGTTATAATCACTCGAGCGCTGAGCCTTCCCATGCTGAGTGTGTGGCCTTTCTTCAGATTTGGCTTTGTAAATATATTTTGTGTGTGCCAAGCATGAAGCCTTCTATGAGCTATCTACCCATAGCGCATGAATTGGCGCGTGGTAGGCTTCTAAATTTGTGTTCTTTCTTTTTGGCTGCCCTCTATAGAGGCATGACTTCTCTTCAATTCCAATTGAAGAATGGTGTATCTTCCACTGGCAATGGGCCTCTTTGGTTCACTCAAATGTGGTTGAGAGCCTATTTTCCATCACTTGGTGCTCTATCCTTATCCTTTCATTCTGCTAGCTGTTACGGGCTAGCTATTGACCCACTGAGCCTTGTAACTATGTCCAGAAGGGATATCTTTTCATTCTTTTATACTTTGGATTCAATTCCTTCTTTCTTTCCATTTCTTCCCTTTTTAACTCCAGATTATGTGCAACCCCCATCCACCCTGGACGGTGCGAGCACCTCTTTGCTCGTTTGGGTTCAGTTTTTGACCGGGAGGGAGTTGTTCCATGGTATTTTGACTGGAACCAATGCCAAAGCTGGGGTTGAAATATATACTCCCCAATTTTTTGCTCGTCAACTTGTTTTTGGCCAAACTTGGTCTGTTCCCCCTTGTTATTCAGGAAATTTGATAGATCGCTTCCACATCATCATAAGGCAGAGGCGGAAGCTATAAATGCTCTCAATATTCTTTTCACGAATAATTTTTCATTAGCCCCTTTCAATCCTAACCATGTCATCCATCCCCTTTTTGAACAACTCTGGCCATCAGTACATCGCAGATTGTTTGCAACTGATGCCAATCGCGCTTTCCATTCACTGGATCAGCCAGACATTTCTTCCACTTCTCCTGTTTTGGTCACCCTTATGTCTATTAGGAGTCCTTCCTCTTCTGCTCGTGCCAAACAGTCTGTTCGTCCATCTACTTCTCTTCCTACCAAGCCTACTGCAGCTAAGAGTGCCCCAAGCAGTAAACGGCCAGCCTCAGCATCTCCCATTTTGGAGGATGATGATGACACTCCTCTCATTGTCAGGAGAAAGGTAATTAAATTAGTTTACTCACAAGCATTACCTTTCTATACTTGAAACTTTTCTACGTGTTGATGATTTATTCAAATTTCTCATAAAAGCTTAGCCTCTCCTTTGAAAGCTTTGGTGTTGGCAGCTCCTGTTCCATCATCCTTTGCTGAGACTGCTTCATCCAAACTAGTTGATAAAGGGACTACGCTTAAAGAGAAACCTTCAGTCCCGAAATCCTCATCACAACCAATGGATGAACCACCTTCTTCCCAGGGCGTCAATCCCCAAAACGTCGAACCAGAAGGTAATACATTTTTTGATGTTTTACCGTTGCTTGTACTATTAGTTTTTAATTTGTTGCTTTTTGAGTTCTGCAGATGCTCCCATAGGTTTGCCCGTTGTGACAAAGTCTTCTCGCCCAGACAAGGGGAAGTCCTCACAAGTGGTGGAGTCACAGGTGATAGACTTGGCTGGAGATATGCCACCTCCCAAGATTGCTGATGAGGTAATCCTTGCTTCACTTTTACTTCCACTTTGTTTATTTTAGTGAAAACCTTCAATGTTGGCAATTTTCTTTGTAGGATGCTGATAAGATTGTGCGTTCCATCCAAAACTTGTTCACTTCCTCGGGGCAAGTCAAGATGTCTCCCCCTGCTTCAACCAGTCGTCCTTCTGCTTTTTCAGAGGAAGATATGAAGTTCCTCAAGCAGTCGATATTTGAGTATGTGTCTTTTATGGATATGGACATCGGTCAGGCTAGTGCTGCCAAATATAAGGATAAACTTAAGCATTTGAGTGCGAAGTTGGCGCAAGCACTAACACTTCCGTCGCTCAATCTTTCTGCTGATTTTAAAGCGACGTTGAAAATTGTCCATTCCGAAATTCTCTCCTTGCTGGCCAA